AACCGGTGGTGCGAGCTGGCCTGCAGCATTGCCCTGGAGGCCGTGAGGACGGTGGAGCTGGAGGAGAACGGCAGGAAGGAGATCGACATCAAGAAATACGCCAAGGTGGAGAAGGTGAGCGTGTCCTGAGCTCCTTTTCCCATGGGAACCCAATGATTCCCAAGGGGAATGCTCCTAAAGTGGCCTCATGTTGGGCGCTGCGTGCAGCGGGCTGGATTGGGAGGGGTTTTCCTTTCTCGGAGGGTGGTTTGAGGAGTGGGGATGCTTTCCTAGAAAGCATAAAGAGTCACACAGTGTCCCAGTATGTTAGAGATTGGGGGGACCCCATAAGCTCATCCAGTCCAATCCCCCTGCAGAGCAGGAACACCCAGATAAGGTTACACAAGGATGCATCCAGGTGGGTTTTGATGCCTCCAGAGAAGGAGACTCCACAGCCTCCCTGGGCAGCCTGGGCCAGTGTTCTGGCACCTCACTGAGAAGGAGTTGAAGTGGAACCTCTTGTGCTCCAGTTTGTACCCATTGCCCCTTGTCCTATCATTGTTTGCCACTGAGAAGAGCCTGGCTCCAGCCTCGGGACACTCCCCCTTTATATATTTATATACACTGATAAGGTCATCCCTCAGTCTCCTCTCTCCAAACTATAGAGACCCAGCTCCCTCAGTCTCTCCTCATAAGGGAGATGCTCCACTCCCTTCATCATCTCAGGTGCCCTGCGCTGGACTCTCTCCAGCAGGTCCCTGTCCTTCTGGAACTGAGGGGCCCAGAACTGGACCCAATATTCCAGATGGGGTCTCACCAGGGCAGAGTAGAGGGGAAAGGGGACCTCTCTGGACCTACTGACCACCCCCCTTCTAATCCACCCCAGGATGCCATTGGCCTTCTTGGCCACAAGGGCACAGTGTCGGCTCATGGTCACCCTGTCGTCCATAGGACCCCCAGGTCCCTCTCCCCTACACTGCTCTCTAAGAGGTCGTTCCCCAGCCTATACTGGAACCTGGGGTTGTTCCTGCCCAGATGCAGGACTCTACACTTCCCCTTGTTCTATCCCATCCAGTTACTCCCTGCCCAACTCCAGCCTGTCCGGGTCTCACTGGAGACCTGGAGTACATGGATGCCTCATTCCCTCTTTTCCTGGGACAGATCCCAGGTGGCTTCAGTGAGGATTCCTGCGTGCTACGGGGGATCATGGTGAATAAAGATGTAACTCACCCCCGCATGAGGCGCCTCATCAAGAACCCCCGCATCGTCCTTCTCGATTGTTCCCTGGAATACAAGAAAGGGGAGAGCCAGGTAAAAAGCCCCAAAGGGAATGGCTGGGACCTCAAACCTCCTCCAAAGCCCCTTCCCCAGGTTTCCTGGGATGCTTCTCCCTGCTTCCTGCCCAGGAGGCATTGGGGGGGCTCAGATCCCTGTATCCAGGGGCTCTGGATGTAACCTGGGGGGGCTCATATCCCTGTATTGGGGGGCTCTGGATGTAACCTGGAGGGGTCGATCCCTGTAGGGCTCTGGATGTACCTGGGGTAGTCTGTATGGGGGCTCTGGATGTAACCTGGGGGCTCAGATCTGTATTGGGGGTCTGGATGTAACCGGGGGAGCTCAGATCCTGTATTGGGGGGCTCTGGATGTAACCTGGGGGGCTCAGATCCCTGTATTGGGGGGCTCTGGATGTAACCTGGGGGGGCTCAGATCCCTGTATTGGGGGGCTCTGGATGTAACCGGGGGGGGCTCAGATCCCTGTATTGGGGGGCTCTGGATGTAACCTGCATCTCTTTGTGTGCAGACTGACATCGAGATCACCCGTGAGGAAGACTTTGCCCGCATCCTGCAGATGGAGGAGGAATCCATCCAGCAGATGTGTGCAGACCTCATCAGGGTCAAACCAGACCTGGTCATCACAGAGAAAGGGATTTCAGGTACTGACCCGCTTCTTGGGGTTATCTCCATCTGAATGAGGCTCATCCTGGGTTAAATTCACCCTTTGGCACCTTCTGAACCCCTCAGAACCAACCTCATTTCCCCTTGGTTTGGGGCAGGTTTGTAGCTTCCTAACACAGAATTCCCCATTGCAAGGCCTGGATTTTGGGGCTGGAGGTTGCCTTGTTCTAAAGAGCATTTGGGATGCAGGGATGAGGGGCTTGAGGTTGCAGTTCTAAAGAGCATTTGGCTTGGCCAGGAATTGGAAGGCATCAAAAGAGCAATGAGGAGCCTCAAAAGCTGCCTTAAAGTGCATTTGGTTTCCCTTTGTAGCAGCTAATTGCATTTAATTAATGTAAAGAGCCTTAATTAGTGCTGAGGGGTGACTGAACCCCCCAAACCTGCTTGCAGACCTGGCCCAGCACTACCTGATGAGAGCCAACATCACGGCCATCCGCAGGGTGAGGAAGACGGACAACAACCGCATCGCCAGGTCAATGATGGCTCCCTCCTCCCTGGAGCCTCTCCTTTTCCTCCCATGCCATGGAATTGCTTCCTTCCCCCCCTTTCCCATCCCTATGGATGCATGACCGGCCCCTGGTTCCTGTGCAGGGCCTGTGGAGCTCGCATCGTGAGCCGCACGGATGAGCTGCGGGACGAGGATGTGGGTACCGGGGCCAGGCTTTTTGAGGTGAAGAAGATTGGGGATGAGTATTTTGCCTTCATCACCGACTGCAAGGAGCCCAAGGCCTGCACCATCGTCCTGCGGGGAGCCAGCAAGGAGATCCTGGCTGTGAGTTCCTGCGGGTTCTGCCTCTCCTCCTCCTCCTTGGGGCAGTCGCTGCTTCCCTTCGGAGCAGCTCGAAGCCAAGTCCAGGTTTCCTTTGGGTTCTGGAGCTGCGGAATTCCCATCTCATCCATTCTCTGCAAGGGAATCAGAGCCTGCCCACAGCTTTCCATAGGGACCATGGGATGATTTGGGTTGGAGGGGAGCTTAAAGCCTCTTGTCCTCTCCATCCCTTGGTCCAGGTTTCCTGCTGCCCCTTTAGGCACTGGAGCTGCTCTAAGCTCTCCCCTTAAGGAGCCTCCTTCTCCCTTCTGCTGCTCCCAGCACTAGGAGGGGGGAGTTATGATCCCATTCCCATACCCCTGCTCCCATCCCCATATCCCTCATCCCATATCCCTGTTTCCATCTCCGTATCCCTCATCCCATATCCCTGCTCCCATCCCTGTATCCCCACTCCCATCCCCGTATCCCTCATCCCGTATCCCCGCTCCCATCCCTGTATCCCTCATCGCATATCCCTGCTCCCATCCCCGTATCCCTCATCCCCGCTCCCATCCCCATATCCCTGCATCCATCCCTGTATCCCCGCTCCCATCCCCGCATCCCTCATCCCATATCCCTCATCCCGCTCCCATGCCCGTGTCCCTCCGCCCGCAGGAGGTGGAGCGGAACCTGCAGGACGCCATGCAGGTCTGCCGCAACGTCCTGCTGGACCCGCAGCTGGTGCCGGGCGGGGGAGCCACGGAGATGGCCGTGGCGCAGGCACTGACCGAGAGATCCAAAGGGATCACGGGGGTGGAGCAGTGGCCGTACCGGGCCGTGGCCCAGGCGCTGGAAGTGATCCCTCGCACCCTCATCCAGAACTGCGGCGCCAGCACCATCCGGCTGCTGACCTCGCTCAGGGTAAGCGGGGATCATGGGGTTCCCATTGGAGCCACAGCCAGGCCCTGGGGGAGGTTCTGCATTGAAGGATCCCAGTGCTCAAGGATTTGATGGGGGGATTTGAAGGCTTTGTGGTGGATTCCCAAGCATGGAAACTCGAATGGGTTGGGTTGAAGGGAGCTTACAACCATTGAACACAGCCACAGCTTCTCCCTTTAACCCTTCCCAGTCTCCCACCACCTCCATGGGGAAGAGATTCCCAAGATCCCATTTAACCCTTCCCTCTCCCAGTTGGAGCCGTTCCTCCTCAACCCATCCCTTGTCCAAAGCCATTCCCCCCCCGCCTTGTCCTGTCCATCCCTTGTCCAGCTTCCCACTGGAAAGGCCACACAGAGGCCTCCTCAGACGATCCCAAGTGGTGATCCCGACATTCCCAACAGGCAAAACACACTCAGGACAACAGCCAGACATGGGGGGTGAATGGGGAGACCGGAGCCTTGGTGGATATGAAGGAGCTGGGGGTCTGGGAGCCATTGGCTGTCAAGCTGCAGACCTACAAGACAGCGGTGGAGGTGAGGATTTAGGGGGGCTCCTGGGGTTGCTCCATGGGGCTGGAGTTCCGGACTGGTTCCCAATGCTCTCTCTCCATAGACGGCTGTTCTCCTGCTCCGCATCGATGACATCGTGTCCGGGCACAAAAAGAAGGGGGATGAGAAGAGCCAGGCCCCGGCAGCACCGGAGCCAGCCCAGGAATGAGCTCCGGGAATGAGGGATCCCATGGGGAAAGAACCAAGCCAGCACCCGGCTTGCTGGGGCTGAAGCTTTAGGGTGGGAGGGGGCTCAGTGCCCTGCTCAGGGTGCATGGGAATGGCAGGCTCTGGAATGGCACGGTTTGCTTGGGAAATAAACCCAATCACGGCATTCCAGGGCCTTTTGAATGGGGGGGATCCCATAAATACCAGGGAATGGTGCTGGGGTTCGGGAAAGGAGCCCTTGGGGTTCTCCCTGTCCTTTCCAGGCAGGAGCAGAATCACTTCCCTGTGGCAAGTGGAAGCCATTCCCCCTTATCCCACCCCTCCATCCCTTTGTCCCAAGCTTTCCCAGAGCCCCTTTAGACACTGGGACCTGCTCCAAGGCCTCCATAAGGGGAAGGGAAAGCAGCAGAGCTGCCCTTTGGCCAGGGCTCCCTCCCAGTGCTCCAACTGGTTTGGAAACCAGTTCACCTGCGAGGAAGGAGCCAGGCCTGCAGATGCCATCCCATGGGCAAAGCTGTTATGGGATCCATCCCCCCTTCCCAAAGCAACCATGGAAACACTTGGCAAAGGGTTTTATTGGGCAATGGGGGTCCCCCGTTCCCAGGGCAGAGCAAGGGGGAGCGCATCCCCCTGCACCCCTCCTTTTTGGGGGTGGTCCCCCCTTATCCCCAGTAGCGGAGCTTGGCTCCGGCGCTCTTGGGCTGCTCGGGGGGCTTTGCCTCGGGCACAGCCAGGAGGTTTTGGGGCTCCAGCACCAGCATGCTGTAGAGGTTCCAGAGCAGCACGGCCACCAGCGGCAGGAAGCTCAGGCTCAAGGAGAACACGCGGAAGGAGCGGCCCATGGCGAAGGCCAACCAATGGAGCAGCCTGGAGAGGAGGCATGGAAAGGGGATGATGCTAAACTGGGAGGACTGGTTGATGGGCCAGAAGGCAGTGCTGCCATCCAGGGAGACCTGGACAGGCTGGAGTTGGGCAGGGAGTAACTGGATGGGATATAACAAGGGGAAGTGTAGAGTCCTGCATCTGGGCAGGAACAACCCCAGGTTCCAGTATAGGCTGGGGAACGACCTCTTAGAGAGCAGTGTAGGGGAGAGGGACCTGGGGGTCCTATGGACGACAGGGTGACCATGAGCCGACACTGTGCCCTTGTGGCCAAGAAGGCCAATGGCATCCTGGGGTGTATTAGAAGGGGGGTGGTTAGTAGGTCCAGAGAGGTCCCCTTTCCCCTCTACTCTGCCCTGGTGAGACCCCATCTGGAATATTGGGTCCAGTTCTGGGCCCCTCAGTTCCAGAAGGACAGGGACCTGCTGGAGAGAGTCCAGCGCAGGGCAACTGAGATGATGAAGGGAGTGGAGCATCTCCCTTATGAGGAGAGACTGAGGGAGCTGGGTCTCTATAGTTTGGAGAGAGGAGACTGAGGGGTGACCTTATTAGTGTATATAAATATATAAAGGGGGAGTGTCCCGAGGATGGAGCCAGGCTCTTCTCAGTGGCAAACAATGATAGGACAAGGGGCAATGGGGACAAACTGGAACACAAGAGGTTCCACTTAAACTCCTTCTCAGTGAGGTGCCAGAACACTGGCCCAGGCTGCCCAGGGAGGCTGTGGAGTCTCCTTCTCTGGAGGCATCAAAACCCACCTGGATGCATCCTTGTGTAACCTTATCCGGGTGTTCCTGCTCTGCAGGGGGATTGGACTGGATGAGCTTATGGGGTCCCCCCAATCTCTATTATAGTGTGATGCTGTGATCCCAACCCCGTAGCATTGCTGCTTACCTGGAGATGGCGAAGAGCCCGGTGAGGAGCGGGATGAGCTTGAGGAGCTCCTGCGGGAGGTAGGTGGCCAGCACGGCCACGTTGAAGAAGTAAAGCACAAAGAGGTGGGCGGACTGGCCCACGAAGGTGCTGTGGATCTCCACCTCGCGCCGCAGCTCCCCACAGGGCTCCCGTGCCCAGGAGCAGAGCCGGGAGACGCCGCTGACCAGCATCCCTATGGGAATACCGGAGCTAAAGGTTGGGAATGGGGCTCCCCAGCACCCTATAGGGATGCTTTGCCCCCCCACCACCCCTTTGATGCTCACCCAGCACAATGGGCACCGTGGCGAAGGCGGCGCAGCGTAGGGTGTACACCAAGCGGGTGCTGATGGTGGGCAGCAGTGGGGCATCGAAGGGCAGGAAGACGTAAGCCCCATAGACAAAACAGGGGCACAGCACCAGAGCCCCCAGTACCGAGGCCAAGGCCTTGAGGTGGTCCCCACCACCGCAGTCCTTAGCCCACGGGCACCTGGCTCCGTCATTGGGCTTGGCCACTCGCCCCTCTAAGCCCAATGGGTCCCTGGAGCGTGAAGGACCCATAGGGAGGAGGAGTGGGTGCTGGCTGCGGGGCACAGCCCCCCCTTTGCCTTCCTCCTGCTGCTTCTTGCCCTTGGGGGGGCTCTGCTCGATGCAATGGGGGTCTATGGGCACCACCACCATTGGGGCCACCTCGGGGCCAGCACCGGCCTCCTCCGGGCCTTCCCGGCCCCCATCCGGGCTCGCCCGGGCCCTCCCCGGGGCACGGTCCCAGGGCAGGGTGGCCTCGGGGTCCTCCGGTGCCTTGGGTAAGGGGGGGGCCGGGCCCAGGTCCATCAGCGCCACCTCCTCCAGGGGCAGGATGGGGTCCGCAGCAGGCATGGATGGGGGGGGTGCAGGGGCTCTGCGGTGCTTGGGGGGGGACGGATGCGGCTCCGGTTCCTTCCTCTTCACCCTGGGCACAAAGCAGTGGGAATGGGGGGGTCTGGGCTCATGGATAATGGGAGGGGGGGGGATGCTCCTGCATCCCTGCATCCCAAAGCCCCTCTCCAGGCTTCTTGCAGCCCCTTTAGGTACTAGAGCGGGATGCTCCAAGCCCCTGTGTCCAACGTGGCCAGGGATGGGGCATCCAAACCTTCCCCATTCAACCCATCCCAGTGTCCCAAAACCCTCCCAGGGGTGGTTCTGCCCCATCTCCATCTCCCCTCGGGCAGGTTCAAGCCATTCCCCTTGTCCTATCCCTGCATCCCTGCACCCCAAAGCCCCTCTCCAGGCTCCCTGCAGCCCCTTCAAGGCTCCCCTTGAGCCTTCCCCTTCTCCAGCCCCAATTCCCCGTGCTCCGGAGCCTCCCGCATTGGAAACCTCGCTCCTTCCCGGCCGCATTCCCAATGGGAAGCGCCTCAGGAATGGGGGCGCAGAGGTTGTGCCCCCCCCTCGGGTTCCCAGCCCCATTCCCACCGCCGGGAACGCGGCGGCTCCGCGCTGCGGGACTCACTCGGGCCGCGGAGCGAGGCCATGGGAGCCTCCGGAGCGCTTCCCCCTGCCTTGGGCACGGCTCTTCCGGGCCTTCAAACCGGTCGGACCGGGCGAGGTGGGGCCGGGCCTCAGCCCTGCCCCTTCCCAAGGGATCGGGGCCTGCAGGGCAAGGAGAAGCCAAAGGCTGAGGGCGGGGAATGGGCTCTGGAGCCGCCGCCATGGGGCCCCTGCGGCTGTGCCCAAAGCGGGGGAGCTCCAAAGGGAGCCCCCGGCCCCTCAGCCACACGCTGTGTGTGCAGGGAGGCGTTCCCAAGGGATGAGGAGGGAATCCCAAGGGATAATGAGGGATTCCCAAAGGATGAGGAGGGAACCCCAAGGCCGTTCCATCCCTCCAAGGCCAGCCTCACAACATGGGGCAGCCATGGCGAGGCCCGCACTAGGCCTAGGCTGACGCCACGCCGCCGCCATCTTTGCCAGCACTAAGTACTGGCACGGCGAGAGGTTGAACTCTCGCGAGATGACGCCCCGCCGCTGCCAGGTCTCGCAGGCTCTCGCGAGAGCGGCCCAGGGCAGGGGGCAGCCATGGCGGCCGAGCGGGGCCGGGGGCGGCGGCGGAGGCGGCGGGGCCGGTGCTGAGGGGAGCGGGAGCCGGAACCGGAGCCGGGCCGGGCCTCGCCTTGCAGCGGAGCCATGAGCCAGGGCGGGGGGGCCGGGGAGAGCGGCGAGCCCGAGGCCAAGGTGCTGCACACCAAGAGGCTGTACCGGTGAGGAGGGAGCGGGCGGCGTGAGGGGCCGGGGGGGGGGGGGAACCGGGAGAGCGGGAGGAAGGAGGTGGGAGGGGGGGATAGAGGGAAGGGGGGGTCCAGGAGAGGGGATGGGGATACAGAAGAAGGGATTGGGATGCAGGAGAGGGGATGGGGATACAGGAGAGGGGATGGGGATACAGGAGAGGGGATGGGGATACAGAAGAAGGGATTGGGATGCAGGAGAGGGGATGGGGATACAGGAGAGGGGATGGGGATACAGGAGAAGGGATGGGGATACAGGAGAGGGGATGGGGATACAGGAGAGGGGATGGGGATACAGGAGAAGGGATGGGGATGGGGATACAGGAGAGGGGATGGAGGAAGGAGGGGATGCAGGAGGGGGGATAGAGGAAGGAGGGGATGGGGATGGGGATACAGGAGAGGGGATGGAGGAGGGGATGCAGGAGAGGGGGATGGGGATGCAGGAGAGGGAGTGGGGATGGGGATACAGGAGAGGGGATAGAGGAAGGAGGGGATGGGGATGGGTATGCAGGAGAAGGGATGAGGATGCAGGAGAGGGGGTGGGGATACAGGAGAAGGGATGAGGAGAGAGGGGATGGGGATGCAGGAGATGGGATGGGGATGCAGGAGAAGGGATGGGAGGGGGATGGGGATAGGAGAGGGGATGGGGATGGGGAGGGGATGGGGATGGAGAGGGGATGGGGATGCAGGAGAGGGGATGGGGCTGCAGGAGAGGGGATGGGGCTGCAGGAGAGGGGATGGGGATGCAGGAGAGGGGATGGGGCTGCAGGAGAGGGGATGGGGATGCAGGAGAGGGGATGGGGATGCAGGAGAGGGGATGGGGATGCAGGAGAAGGGATGGGGATGCAGGAGAGGGGATGGGGATGCAGGAGAGGGGATGGGGCTGCAGGAGAGGGGATGGGGATGCAGGAGAGGGGATGGGGATGCAGGAGATGGGATGGGGCTGCAGGGGGAAAGGCTGAGGAGTCCTCTCCAGTCTCCATCGGTACTCCCAGAATCCACCAGGTTGGGAAAGAGCTTTCAGATCCTCCCATCCCCCTGTCTGTGGGGGGCTCTGGGCTTGGGGTCAGGCTCCCCTTGCTTGCCCTGTCGGTGCCATTGGGCGCATCCTTGCATCCCACTGCCCTCCTGCAGAGCAGGGCCGGGTTTTCCCCTTCCCCTCTTGAGGAATGTGCCAGGATCCTCAAGTGCAAAGGGAAGAGGAGCTCTGGCAGCCGCTGCTTGCCAGGATGGGCCTTGGCCCCAGCGCATTCCCCACACTTGGAAGTTCAATGGGGCGGATTCCTCCATGGTGTCTGTGTGTGAGGGGCTGAGCTCTGGGCTCCACGGCCTCTTCCCCATTGGAGCTGATGTCTGTGGGGTGCTCTTTGCCATGGAAGCCTTCCTGGGTTGCCAAGCTTCACCTTTCCCTTGGGTCCACAGCACCAGCAATGATGGGTGTCCCTCAGGGACTGGTCTCGTTCAGCATCCTCATCCCTGATGTGGACACTGGGATGGGAGCACCCTCAGCAGGTTACCCTCTGCCACCAAGCTGTGTGGGTCGGTTGATGCTCTGGAGGGAGGAATGGGATCCAGAGGGACCTGGACACGCTTGGGAGCTGGGCTGATGCCAACCCCATGGAGTTTAACCATGCCAAGGGCAAGGTCCTACACCTGGGATGGAGCAATCCCAAGCACAGCTGCAGGCTGGGCAGAGGAGAGATTCAGAGCAGCCCAAGGAGAAGGGCTTTGGGCAATGGGGAAATGAACGTGAGCTGGGTTCAGTTTGTGCTTGAGCCCAGGAAGCAACCGGATCCTGGGCTGCATCCAAAGGAGCGGGAGCAGCGGGGCCATGGAGGTGATCCTGACCCTTTACTCTGCTCTGGTGAGACCTCCCCTGGAGCATTGGGTGCAGTTCTGGGGTCCTCAGCATCAAAAGGACACGGAGCTGTTGGAACAGGGCCATGAGGATGCTCAGGGGCTGGAGCAGCTCCTGTATGGGGATAGGATGAGAGAGTTGGGGCTGTTCAGCCCAGGCTGCGTGGAGACCTCAGAGCAGCTTCCAGTGTCTGAAGGGGGCCTATAGGGATGCTGGGGAGGGACTCTTCATTAGGGACTGTAGTGATAGGACAAGGGGTAATGGGTTAAAACTGAAACAGGGGAAGTTTAGATTGGATCTAAGGGAGAAGTTCCTCACTGTGAGGGTGCTGAGGCACTGGAATGGGTGCCCAAGGTGGTTGTGAATGCTCCATCCCTGGCACTGCTCAAGGCCAGGTTGGATGAAGCCTTGGGTGCCCTGGTTTAGTGTGAGGGTTCCCTGCCCATGGCAGGGATTGGAACTGGATGATCTCCAGGTCCTTTCCACCCCAACCCATTCCATGATCCTGGTGCATCTCTCCACATAGGGAAGCAGGTTTCTTCTCTCCCAGGGCTCCTCTCCCTGTCTTCCAGCCTCATTTGTGTGCTGCCCCTTGCTGGAGCACTGCAGAGCTTGGGCCTCAGGGCATGGGGCTATTTGGGGATGAACCCAACCAAGGAATCGAGGACAAATCCTCCTCCTGCATCTTGGCCCCATCAAATGAATGGCCCCAAAAGGAGGAGGTTGGGGGCTGCGTGGTTGAAGAGGCCTCCACGTTGGATCATTTCCATGATGTGCTCTTCTTGGTGCACCTCAGCCTCCTCCTCTGGGATGCTCCTGTCCTGTCTGGATGCAGCTGGGTCTGGGATGCTCCTGTCCTGTCTGGATGCAGCTGGGTCTGGGATGCTCCTGTCCTGCCTGGATGCAGCTGGGTCTGGGATGCTCCTGTCCTGCATGGATGCAGCTGGGTCTGGGATGCTCCTGTCCTGTCTGGATGCAGCTGGGTCTGGGATGCTCCTGTCCTGCCTGGGTGCAGCTGGGTCTGGGATGCTCCTGTCCTGCCTGGATGCAGCTGGGTCTGGGATGCTCATGTCCTACCTGGATGCAGCTGGGTCTGGGATGCTCATGTCCTGCCTGGGTGCAGCTGGGTCTGGGATGCTCCTGTCCTGCCTGGGTGCAGCTGGGTCTGGGATGCTCCTGTCCTGCCTGGATGCAGCTGGGTCTGGGATGCTCATGTCCTACCTGGATGCAGCTGGGTCTGGGATGCTCCTGTCCTGTCTGGATGCAGCTGGGTCTGGGATGCTCATGTCCTGTCTGGATGCAGCTGGGTCTGGGATGCTCATGTCCTGCCTGGGTCCAACTGGCTCCAGGTTTGGTCTCTTAACATCCAATGGGGGATCCAGCCCATGGTCCCAAAGGATACCCAAAGCACTGATGTTCCATTGCAGTTCAAGCCTCTTGATGCTCCCTAACACTATGGGGAGGTTGATTCCTCCCTGCTTCCCTTTACCTCATGGCTGTGGGCACAGGATCCCTCAGATCCTTCTTTATTCCTCCTCTTCCAGAGCTTGTTCTACCATGGGATCTGCTTTCCCAGCTCAGGAACCCAGCCAAGGGGAAGGGGAAGCATCCCCAGTGTCCTGCTGGGATAAAGCCTGGGAGGCTTTGGGCACAGGGCATTGATATCCCAGCCGTGTACTGGGATGCAGGGGTTGGCTTTGGGATCACTTCCTAACTCGAGGTGAGGGTATCAGCCCCCCCATGCTGGGGGGATGAAGATG